TTGTGTTTTTGCAAAATAGGCTACATGTAGAAATGAAACGAAATCAAATGAAATCGGGTTTAGAGAGGGAGAGAGCAATGTGCTTTTACTGAACTCGTCACAGACTAGGTCATTTTGGGACAATGGCAATGGAAGGAAACCGAAGGACCCGGAAGAAATGAAATGAAATGGGGTTTAATGTACTACTGTTCTGCTCCGACTGGGTTAATGAAGACGGGCATACGCCATACAGTGTGCTATGAGGGATATTTTGCCCGGACAGCGACGCTACGGCCTATGCTTATATCGAATTCCAACTGCCAAGGCATCTTTTACGTGCACTCCAAGGTGTACAATGGAGTTCGTTTTTACGTCCCATCCGAACGACTAGACAGCTGTACTTGTCAGGCCCTCCGTCTTGCACCACTGACAAGGGGAAACCACGCCGGAAAATCACGATGTACTTTGGTTCCACATGTAGATTGAAATTCGCGTGGAAAGGAGTCAAGGCTGAATACACTTTTTAACGGGTAAAATGAGTGCCTTATGCTTTAAATTATGGCGGTATATTAGATTCAAAATTCTAACATGCTATCGTCTAATTTCTAACCTCCGTTCATTTAACTTCTAACCTTAATTCATGTAACTTCTAACCTTAATTCATGTAATTTCTAACTTCAATTCGTGTAATTTCTAAATTAAGACAATGTATAATCCAACTTCTTTATATGTTCAGTGTAAATTTTAATTCTGTTTCGTCTTATTTCTATTGTTAAGACGAAAAATGTCTACTTCATTGTCACTTTACATGTTAATCATGAACGTCGAGCAAATTTAGAATTTTGATACCTCTACCGAGCAACCATCATTATGACGTCGTTTGGTGTCGCCACCGTGTGCTCAATTTGGTGATTGAGCACTGAGCGGGATCATTATGTTGCCACAAACGACTCGCTCTTCGTCAGGTTGAATGGTTTGGCGGAGTGTAAAAATTGAAAACAACATCGAAATGAAATGAAATGAAATGAAATGGGGTTTAACGTCCTACTGTTCTGCTCCTAACCTGGGCTAATGAAGACGGGCATACGCCACACAGTGTGCTATGAGGGAAATTTTGCCCGGACAGCGGCACTACGGCCTACTCTTATATTCCAACTGCCAAGGGATCTTTTACGTGCACGCCAATGTGTACACGGGACCTCGGTTTTTCGTCCCATCCGAACGACTAGACAGCTTTCCTTGTCAGCCCCTCCGTCCTGCATCACGAAAACAACATCGAACGTGATATGGTTTGCAAATACTGTTTTTAATATAAGCTAAACAGCATTTGTTATTTTTTTTAAAGACAAGTGCAGGATTTGGAGAATTTTATTTTATTTTTATTTTACAGTTAAGCCAATTACTATTTATATACTGTTGATCTATAAATTATTCTGTTAATGCTCTAAAATATGTCTCTTTATACTACCCGAACGACTAGCCACTGTCCGTGTCAGACCCTCGTCTTGTATCAATAACAAGGGGCGGATAACCACGCCGGAATATAGCGGTTATATCATAAAAAAATATATGTCTATGGGTTATATAACATCGTCAGCTATAATACACACTGGCAAAACTACGCTTTATAATATTTCTGACATTATTAGTTCCATCCTTGTGATTTGCGGAGGTTGCCGTTATTGTAGGCATATACAGTGTCTAGTAGTTCGGGTCGGACGAAAACCGTTGCAGCTGTTATTCGTAATAAAAGTAGACCGTAAATTTCACTCATGGCACACCGTAAGTTCGTCTTCATTAGACTAGATGGTGTAGAAAAGTAGGACGATAAACCGCTATCTATGAATTTCGGTATTGCTTTATACAACTTGAATAAAATATTTTTGGAAAAAAAACTACCATAAAGTTAGTCAGGTCGGTGTAATGAAGGAATCAGAAATAAAAACTCCATCGCTATCCACATGAACAGATTATCCCAGACTCCCGAAAAGGCCGTTTCATCCCTACAGTATGAGGTTTCTAAATTTATATCATTGAACCATATCAAGAAAAAGTTTATCATTTTTGTTCGAGTAGTAATAGAATACACATTAACAGTAAATAAATATTATTGATGGCTTAACTGTCTTCAAGAAAATTGAAAAAAAAAATGCTGTTGGGCTTTTATTTGAAGTAGTATTTACCAACCATTTCACGTTCGATGTTGTTTTCAATTTCACCATCGATTCCTGGTTGTACTTGTCAAGGAGTAGGGTCGTCTGTCCAACCTCGTGGGTTTTCTCCGGGTCCTCCCACAGCTAAAGACCCCTACGCGCAAGCGAATTGTTGAAATAAATTCAACCAAATGTTAGTCCAGAAATGACCTAGTTTGTGCCGAGTGGTCGTTACCCCCCCCCCCCCCTCTCTCTCTCTCTCATCACTCCGCCCAATCACCAACCAGGCGAAGAGCGAGTCGTTTATGTATTGTTTAATGGTCGAGAGCGAGACATAAAGTAATATATTGTAACAACAAGAGGACCGTCAGGTCCGAGGGTTTTTACAATATATTACGCAATGTCTCAGCTCGAGACCATTAAACATCTTAAAATACAGACACTCCGCACGTGCGTTTACAGTGAAATACGTCACTCGAGTCTAATATTTGACAAGGTACGATTGGCAAGTTGCCCGTACGATTATTTGAAATAATGGTACGCCAACATCAAAGGGTGACGTCACATCTGTATTTTAAATAAACATAATGGTCCCTACCAGGTGCGCAATCACCAAATGAGCACGCAGTGGCGACACCAAACGACTTCATAATGATGGTTGCTAGGCAGAAGTGTAAAAATTCTAAACGTGTAAAGAATCAATGAAGAAGACGTTTTTCGTCTAAATAAAAGAAATAAGATGAAATAGAATTCAAATTTACACTGAACAAATAAAGAAGTTGGATTATACATTGTCTTTATTTAGAAATTACACGAATTGAAGTTAGAAATTACATGAATTAAGGTTAGAAGTTACATGAATTAAGGTTAGAAGTTACATGAACGGAGGTTAGAAATTAGACGATAGCATGTTAAATAGCGTTGAATATTTCAAGATTTAACAAACTCTGTAATCTCTGCGTAGTTTTTGGACTATGACCCGCAATTCCTTAATCCGCGCCCTATTGCGGGAAAAGCGATGTGAGCATGGTGGGCCGAGGACTCAGAGACCCCCCCCCCCCCATCAGATTTTCAAAGTTCTGGACACTGGGTCCCCGTCCATCCTTTGTGGGCTCGTGTTGCTGTTGATTTCCAAGAATTCGGTGTAATCCGGCGATGCCGCGTCGTACCGTGTTTTATTATTAATGTTATTTAGCGGGAAAGTGTATCAAGAAAACGCATCAAAATCCTCTTAAGCGGCAATATTTTGTTTACAATCCGTTGTGCTACAAGGAGGTGGAATCAAGTTAACTTTGAACCCATTTATATTCGAGTTTTTAACACAAAATCTGTCAAAAATGTCATTGGTAATATCCGGAAATAGTTTTTATATGCCCACATTTTCACGATTTTTATCCGATTTAAGAACCCGTTCGAATTTATCACCGTTACACCATAATGATAGTTGAGGTCGAATTTTGTGAAAATCGGACCGAATAAACTACCAGACAAAATGGCCGCTCCCTGTAGCCTACGTACGCAAACAATTTTAAAGTATGTAATATCACAGAGTGAAAATAACATATCAAGGATGTGGACCCTCTAGAGGTCACAATTTTGATCGGATTTTAAAAACCGTTTAAATATACTACCGTTGCACCATAAGGAAAATTGAGTTTGAATTTCAGGAAAATCGAAACTGCCCGACAAAATGGCCGCTCCGGTAGGGGCCTACACAAATTGTGTAATACGAAGATTGTGGACCCTTTTGATGAAACTTAAAATATATCTTTATATCCCAAAGATCTCAGTCCCTTTCAATATTTGCGCATTTCAGATTATAACTCCCTGGATTATGGCGCATGATTGTACGAAAACCGCGGGTTTTTTTTAGCTTGTTCTCTATCCGTCTCGTACAAAATATGGGCGTTCCTTGCCTGGCAACCGCTGGTTTTCTTCTTTTGTTTTTTGTTGTTGTTGCCGGTGAATCGAGGAAAGTTGGTTTCTGGCCTCGTATTCTTCGATGTTTAGCCCCTAGGTCGCCTAGACTATGAATGATTATTTGATAAATTTGGTATGTATAATGTGTAGTTTCTGTATATTACGTACGATATTTCGCGTTTTGGTTCCAACAAAACGCATTTAAATTTGGGTCAGCCGTTTTCAAGTTCAACGTTCGTCAAAAATCAACTCCGGTCGGTTACTAACGTTACGACCTTCGCGGATATGGCTAAAGGTCCCCCATTATTTATTACTGGCCGATTTCAAATTAGGTTTGGTGTAGTTACATTCATGCGTGTGGATTAGTTCTCAAGAACAGAACTCTTTTGTCACCAATAAACCCTTATGAGCGCCTTTGACCTCGTGGATCCCAAAATACTTTCACGGATCCCATTTTAATATCAAACATTAGATATACTCATCTGAACACAGATTTATTTTACACACCAGCTAGATACTCCATAAAAATATCCCAAGCAGAGTTGTCTTCCCTTGAAGTTCAGACTACGCTGCATAGAGAGAAATGGGGTTTAACGTCCACTCGACACTAGGTCATTTCGGGGCTATCACATGGTTCAATTTTATTTCGCTTGCGCGTAGAGGTTTTTAGCAGTGGGATGAAACCATCATTTTCAATAGAAGGCTTGATTTCGCTTTAAAGTAGCTATTAAGTCTCTAACTCAATACTAGGCCTATCCAAAGTCTTTGACATTGAAAACACAAATTATTTGTCAATTAAATCAACATTGATGTTATGATTTTGCCGGGAAAAGATGGGCTTCTGATGTCCAATATTTCAGACAAAATAAAGATTTTACCATTGGTAAATGAAGCCTGTACCATAACGTGTTTCACCGATTTGAAATTAAGAGTAAAAACAGAAACGAGTGAAAGTAAAATAGTTTATATACATTCATATTACATTATTATATGCGATGCGATCCATTTGTGTCAATTTCTTGATCCCAAATATTAGCGATTTAGCTCCTTTAACTCCGTACATCTTATCAAGGCTATATATAGATGTTGCAAAACTCGTTGTCATTGCTTCAGGAACATGGACTTGTGTGGGAGAATGACTCTTATAATTCAATCTACTGGTATATACGAGTTAATTTCTTGCTGAATAGCCTATTTTAAAATGCTGTTTAAGGGATATTTTTGAGTAGCAGAAATGATACAGGTGTATCAGAGCTGTCTATTTCAGAAAAAAAGTTTTTTAGGAAAATTAATCATATAAAAAATATTCCACTTTGTTTGTTACAGGTGTTTGTAGCAGACAGGTGTTTTTTTGCCACATACCCTAATTAAATAAATAGAGCATCTCCTTCGAGTCTTTATTGATATATCTTACATGCACAAATAAATAAATATAATTCGTTGCTATAGATTTCACTTTTACTGAACCTGATTACATTACAACGTAGTGATACATCATTTTTTGATAGGAATTCAACCATTGCAAATCCTTTATATTGACCCAGTGTTTCCATCAATATCAATTAAATAAAAATAGTTCATTTTTAATAAAAAAAAGAAGTTACTTTTAATGAAAATTAACTGTCCTTTGAAAATTAAAAAAAGTACTGATCAATCAAATTCATGTAAAGCGATATCTCCCAAGAAGATATCGCAGTAGATTATGAAATTTACCACACAAGCGATATCTACTGTAATTTTAATTACTTGCACATATAACTCTTTATAAAGCATCAGGTAATCAATCTGTTTATCACTTTGCTTAACCTGAGCGGGAATTTTGCTATGACAGCAGCGATAGTCTACTCTTATTGTGCTTTCCGTTTTGCACCATGACAAATGGGGAAATCAGACTGGAAAATCCTGACAAACTTTTGCAGCCAACAACAGGATCGAACTGTCAGGGGATCTTGTATACGCAAAACCTAAGTGTTTTCGTCCCATCTGAATGACCACATGCTTTTCTGGCGCTTCTTAGAGCAGCACTGACCAAGTTAGACCCGGCTGGAATGTCCCAAAGAACTTTCTCAACCAACACCAAGCCACCGTGGCTTCCATCTCTTCTATGAGACAGGCAGGAATGCCAGTTAAATTCAAACACAAAATTATCTTGTAAAAAGTTATCTTCGATTTATTTCATATTTTTATTTAGACAATAACAAAACAATGCAACTTCCTTCCTGATCACTAAATAAACAAGCCAACAGTGAGGCTGATGTCCCCCGCCGAAATCCCAAAATAAATCGATGACACATATTAATTAATCGCACATTTATTTTTTTTTCAAAAGTATCGAGCAATCAAACTGATTATCAACTATACACTAAGTTTCATTACTCTCTATCAGATAGAATCAAAGTTATCTTGTCCAAAGGTGGGTGACAATAACAATTTTTTTTTTATATATTTCATCAAGTATATTCTCTTTGTTATCTCTTTTCATTACATAAATGTAATATTGTCTTGCTCCAATATGTCTGTTCATATTTATGTAAAGTGTAATAATAATAATAATAATAATATTATCTCTGTGAAACTGGAAGATGGTTTCTCACCATCTCAAAAGTCTTAATGATAAAAAAAATAGCTTATCAATAGATCTCCACAGTTTCGCCTATTAGTCAGAGATGATCAAGAAAAAGTCATCTGAATCAAACCTGTATGTAAAACAGATGAAATATAAAGTTATCGTGTCCCAAAGCATCAACCAATCAAATTGCTTATCTCTGCTTACCCTAAGCGGAAAATGCTCATCTTCGAACTCCATCAAGGCATTGACCTAATCAACACATACACCAAGTTTGAACATTCTAGCTCAATTAGGAAGAGAGTTATCGTGCCCCAAAGTATCAACCAATCAAATTGCTTATCTCTGCTTACCCTAAGCGGAAAATGCTCATCTTCGAACTCCATCAAGGCATTGACCTAATAAACACATACACCAAGTTTGAACATTCTAGCTCAATTAAAAGTTATCGTGTCCCAAAGCATCAACCAATCAAATTGCTTATCTCTGCTTACCCTAAGCGGAAAATGCTCATCTTCGAACTCCATCAAGGCATTGACCTAATCAACACATACACCAAGTTTGAACATTCTAGCCCAATTAGGAAGAGAGTTATCGTGTCCCAAAGCATCAACCAATCAAATTGCTTATCTCTGCTTACCCTAAGCGGAAAATGCTCATCTTCGAACTCCATCAAGGCATTGACCTAATAAACACATACACCAAGTTTGAACATTCTAGCTCAATTAGGAAGAGAGTTATTGTGTCCCAAAAAGTGTGACAGACAGACAGACGGACGGACAGACGGACGGACAGACAGACGGACAGACAGACGGACGAACCCATTTTAATAGTCCCCTGCTTTCTTCGAAAGGCGGGGGACAATAAATCCTATTTTGTTCACTTCCTTTTTTTTTATTTTCTATACATCACAAGCACAAAAACCATTTAATGGATTGCTCATTGACAAATACACATTTATAGCACTATTTGATGGGGGGGGGGGGATCCTTTCAGACATGAAATATCAACCTGTTTTTTAATCTTTAACTCTGTAGAGAATGACTGTGGCGTCACATCCTATGGCAATGATAACACATGCATTGTCTACATCAGATGTAGTAATAAAAACTGATCTGGGCAGAATTGGTGCATTTTACTCATATTATGCCGTGTACTACTTTATGGACCCATTTACATAGAAAATATTTTTTATCCAGATATATTTCAAACACATTTAATTTTTCTTAATGATTTAAAAAATTGTTTTCGAGTTTAATTTGTAGAAGAAAAAAAGTTAATACTGAGAGCTAAATAACTTTGCCTGATGTCATCCCTCTCGGTAAAGGAAGCGGCCAAGCGAATATAAAGTACCCATTAGTTTGTTATTGGTATCTCGATCAGAATATACAATCTGAATAAATAAAAATATTACTAAAAGCATATTTAGAGACTGTCCATCGAACTTTTCTAATAGCTAAATTCAGTGGAGAGTTTCGAAGCAGCTCTCCAGGGCCGCAACTAAGCAGACGACACTCACTCCCGACGCTTTATGTCAGAAGTGGCTCCTGCATCGTATATATACAGATACAGATAAGCTCTACATTTTTACCCTTGTCCATTGTACTACAACACCGGACATGCGAGTAGAAAACTGCATTATCTCCTCTGACGTTAAGATTGTCTCCCTTTAAAAGAGGTCTCACTATCTTCATACTTATTTACACAATATGAAATAAAATCTAGAGGAAATAATTAATTCTTGGTATAATATTGTCATACTTGTTAACTTGTCTACTTTCATAATTATTGAACAACACATTTTAATTTGACTTAATTCATAATACTAAATTTAGGGGAGATAATCCATAAAGGGAGATCACTCTTGTTCAAAAATAAAACTTTTACACAACCATTGCTAACCAGGCAAATATTAATAACATTCCTCCATATGGCGTGACCCAACGTACTCTTGTGTTACCCGTTAGAGCGTGGTAATAACAACTAGCAGAAAACAACACTAAACCAGTTGTCATCAACGATCCAACCTGAAAAATATTCAAACAAATATTCACATGACAAACCTATAATCAACTATCAAGGCCATAGGATGGCGGATATATTTTCAATGGATTAGAACCTTCTTGTCATTTCAAATTTAACAATAAAATGGATAATTGTTTATTATCGTAGCCATGGTACTCAACAATTGAGACTATCAGTTGTCAACTAATAGAAGAATGATCAACTCTCCATCTAAATCTTCAATAATGCATCTTGAATGAACAACTCCCACACCTTCATTTTAAGGTGATGTCATTTCCTTTCAGGTGGTGTGTTGTTGTCGAATGATCTTTTTAATTACAAGAATTCATAAAATTTATTTTACATTTTCATTTTATTCATACATTCATTCATTTCACATTGAACTATAAATGATTTAGATTTAACATTAATTAATAGTATCTCCATTGGCAGAGAAAAGTTCAACGGGATATTCCGATGTGGTTTTTTGATTGTCAGGAGGGCCTGACAAGGACAGCTGTCTAGTCATTCAGATTGGGCGAAAACCCGAGGTCCCATATATTCATTGGCGTGCATGTAAAAGATCCCTTGGCAGTTGGAATTCGATATAAGAGTAGGCCATAGTGACACTCCCCGGGCAAAATTTCTATCATAACACACTGTATGGTGTATGCCCGTCTTCATTAGTCCAGTCGGAGCAAAACAGTAGTACATTAAACCCCATTTCATTTTTTCGGGGTCCTTCAGTTTCCTTCCACTGCCATTGTCCCAAAATGACCTAGTCTGTGACCAGTTCAGTAAAAGCACAACTCTCTCTCTCTCTCTCTATATTTCCTTTGAAATTTTTATTTCACAAGGGCCAACCCAGCCTTGCAGCTCCAGTACTTACCAAATAAGGGCGTCTTGTTAAAGGAACAGCGAGAAGAGCGACAGAATGAACTAAATGCATTTTATATCCTGTATCATAAGTCTGCAAGTAGAGGAAAGATTATGTATTATAAGGTCATTGAAATTTATAGTTATGCATCACGATTGTAGCCATGTTTGAAAATGGGGTTTTGAAAAATATGCTAGTTTTACAAGGGGGTGTAAATTGACTATGTCAGGAATATATGGCCAATTTGGAACCCATGGTTTGTAAATAACGATTTTAGTTGTACCAGACTAATTTGAACTCTATCTTGGGCATGTATTAAAGGAGTCGTGACCAGGGCAAAATTTCCCTCATAGCTAAATCGGAGCAGAACAGTAGGACATTAAACCCCATTTCGTTTTATTTGATTTGCATGTATTGAAGATTTACATGTATTAAAGATGCAGCAAACTGAAAATCTGTGACTGACAAAAAGACAGTTACCAGAGGAACTTGTATGGTTGTTATTGGTTGAATTTGCACAGGACATTGTCTGTGACAGGTGGTTTATTTCGAGGCTTGTCCTAGGCAACGTCCCTGCCCTAGGGTAGTCTACTATTCTAATCTTGTAAACTAAAACTTTCTTCATACATTGATATGGGGGAAGGGGGGGGGGGGATCTAGTGGTTTAACGCATGCACATGAAATCACAAGGTCTGTCATTGAGTCAAGTGGCTTGGTTTCGATTCCCTGCTTGTAGTCAGCATTTCATGACAAACATATGGTTCAATTTTATTTCAATAATTCGCTTGAGCATAGGGGTCCTTAGCAGTGGGAGGAAATCGGAGGACCCGGAAAACCCCCACGAGGTTGGACAGGGGGCCATATTCCTTGTCACGTACAACCAGGGAATTGAAACCACGCCAGTTAACTTAATGACAGACCTTATGATACAATGCGCACGTGCTAAACATTCGGCCATCCAACCCCCTGGTCACTTGTAATAAATCATCCCTCTAAAACAGACATTGGTTGCCATTTGTGAATCTGGCTGGGGACCCGCCTAAAAATTTTCCCAACTGGATTAAGCAGCTCCTAAGGCTGGCTCTGGTCCTACATGTATCTAATTTGACAGTGGATTAAAAACAAAATAAATCATTTTACAACCTACCACTTTTAGCTTTTCAGCAGCTTCGCTTTCTTTAAATGCTGAATAATAAAAAATTAATATATTACAAAGTTACTTAATTAAAAAAACACATTTTTTAGAAGGACAAAAAATGGGATTTAATATTCACTCGACATGAACCAGGTTACTTTGGGACTAACATATATATTATTTTTATCCGAGTAATTCATATGATATGCTTGTTGCATCTGGAGAAAGCCCCACACGGTTAACAGGCGACCCTAATCCTTATCATGTACAACTCTAGAAATCGATATCATGCCACTTGACTAAATCACAGACCTTGTGATCTAAAGCATATACCACCCAACCCCACCTTACACTTATAGATCTATGCAAGGATAATATCATAAAATCAAACCTAGACATATTAAGGCACATAATATACATTGTGATAATTTGTGTCTGACAAAGTCAGTGACGGGTGCCTTATGTCCAGGCTTGTGTAAATTGTTTGGTTTACATTGTTTTAGCCTACTTTGAATTGAGTACAAAAAACAAAATTTTGATTTATTATTTAAAAAAATCTGACGTTGATTTTGGTTTTTGGAAGAGGATTGGGGGAAGTCAACCAAGAAGAACAATAGTATTACAATGAGATGTGATAGTGCTTATCTGGTATGGCTAACAAGGAGCCGCTGTGGCTTAGTGATTAAAAGGCACTATCTTACTAAACAGCAGGACGAGAAATTACCTTGCGAGTGGTACTTTTCATTTCATTTAATTTAAAGATACATTCCCGGGTACAAACTGCTGGGTGATTTGATGATATATCTGGACTAAAAACATATTCAATCTAATTAATTTATCATAATTTTGCTTCAAATCCTTCTCAAAACATTGCAATTGTCAGGGAATAGCTGGCTATAAAACATCGATCAAAAGAGGTCATGTTTGTGTCACACGACACAATGGGTGCGAAGTCGGAGGAGAATTCATTGCATACACAAGACGATGTTATCTTTATTTCTGACTATTTATTACAAATATTGAAGCCTAATTAAATTCTCGGATTATCCACTGCCCGCGTCTTTTTCCGTGATTTTTATCTCAGAAAGTGTTGTCTGTCTAACTCTTCAAAAAGTTTATCAACATGTACATCAAGCGCTCAATCTCCGCGTGCAACCTTTGACGTCACACGTGCAGACACTCCTAATCGTCAGGCTGTCGATTAGGGAAACCTGTGTACATTTTTGTCCTGTATGCGCTCCATGAGTGTTTTTCAGGGAATCCAGGATATTTCTAGTAAGATTGGATATTTCAACTTTCCATATATACCAAAATTGTCACACTTTTATTGGAAATAACCACCCGATAAATACATTTCTGGGAACGTAGCTTTAACTTATATAAGTGTTTCTGTTCAAGGGAAGTAACCATAATCACTGACCATCTGATGTAACATTACATAAGAAACCTTATAAACAGGATTTACAGGCTGTACATGTTAAAAAACCCCAAAACAACCTGAGCCAAAAGGATAATTAATAACATTACCATGGACTCATGAAACTACGTACCATGAGCACCATACGCGCCCATTGCTATAGCTGTCGCCCCAGATAGACCAGCTATTCTTATAAACCCCCGAGCTGGGATCCTCATCCCTACTTCTTTGATAATCACTTTCTCAACTTCCACTCGGCCAGGTAATCCAACAGATTGGCCAACCCATCCACTAAAACGACATATATCGTTCCAAACTCCTGCCATCACGTGGTCAACACGTTCTATATCGTCAACAGCGCAATAATAACCAGTGACACAAGGCCATTAATATGTTCAGTGTCCGTTCTTTCCTTTACTTTTCGTCTTCTCTGATCACTCTCTTCACTGATTGACGGTATACTTATTCTTCCCTCAATTTAACGAGAGCTCGTCTTTTGGAGTAAGGGAGATAACTCTTTTTGGTTTAATTTTAACGGTAGACGGAATCTAGTGGACATATTTTCAATCCATTAAAGTCTCTGTTCGTCATTCGAGTGCTTTTTAATCCGTGGCAACCACCAATAATGTGAAAGTTCTATTTCTAAAAGGAAGATCAGTCCAAAAAGGGTTTAATTAATTCCGTTCAATATTTACAAAGATATGATGAATTAAAACTATAAATATTGTCACAAAGGGTTCAATCCCGTTCAGTAGGCCTATTTACACATATGATGAATTGAAAAGTTTAATTTTGTCAAAAAGGGTTCAACCCTGTATATTATTTACAAAGATATCATGAATTGAAAATTTTTGTCAACATTTGGCATTCACTGCAGACGATATATTATATAGGCCTCAGTGAAAACTAAGTACCACCTATGATTTTCTTTGAGCACCTTGTTACAAATTGCACTGAAACGCATTATGGTACACGATTCGTGTACCAATGGTAAAATGTTTATTTTGTCTGAAATATTGATATCAGAAGCCCATATTTTCCAGGTAAGATCACCACACCAATGCTGATTTAAATAGCAAAAAAAATCGTGCTTTCAATGTCGAAGATTTTGGATGATATTGGGTTACGGACTTAGCTACTTTAAGGCCAACAGAATATTGTGTCAAAGGTCACGAGACGTAAACAGGGCTTGCGCTAACCCTGACCAGGGGTGGATTGGGCCCCCGATCCGGGCGATCGCCCGAAGGGCCGGTCGGACAAAAAATGAAAAAAATAATTTTGTCCAATTCGTCTAAAAAACCTTTTCCTGTTGAACATTATATGGAGGGGGGGGGGTATTGGACCGGCCAAAGAGCGATCATGAACATGTTGTATGTGGCCGGTGGCTTTAACGGGCCGCCACGCAATCACTGGAGTCTGGAATGGGCTGGTATAATAGACTTTCTGGCCAGGGTGTGCTGGGTGTGCCCTAACCTTGACGAGATTTGCAATTGGCCTTAATATTTAGACCTAGTTTTCTATTTTGACGGGAAAAACAAATCGCATTTGGTACCTGCGACCCTGACCCTTGATTCTGAGTCGGAGAATGGAGACGAAGGTTTTTCGACAGGAGACGCGCGATACGGCAGACGTAACTAAAGCGATAGTGACACTGTGGTCTCTGGATGATATTTTTCATGAACTAGGTCCCTTCATGGGTTGGTATAACGATTTTCCGGCCGAATTTGCATATATGACGTCACAAAGTTTTAACGCCTTAATTAACGTGTTAATCTTATTTATGCGTTAACCAGTTAATAAGTTAACTGCTCAATGCCTATCAAAGATGTTATATTGAAAAGCTAAATTATTTTGGGATTGTTTTCCCGCCTTATATATAAACATGCTAGTACTGGTACCATTATCGGGTCACAGTACACGTATAATTTAACCATCGTTTGTTTTCGATGCTTTCTACCGAAGATGGAGCAATTATGTGCAATTTGTCTTGACTAACCCATTTGGGTCAGAAAAACATCATTAAACCGGAAACCCCATTACATTTAATTTTCATCTGATACACCCTGGGCATCCTGGTAGTCAGGGGGAATTGTTGTTTTGTTTGATAAATATATTATAAGACACCTAATCCATGGCTTAATCTGTTCAAGTTAAAAGGCCAGCTCAATTTTCGTCAAGTTCGCTGATATGTAAATAAGGTTAGGGCCAGAAGCGGATTGGGCCATCGGGCCATGGAGCGATGGTGATCATGTTGTATGTAGTCCCATTTTTGACCAGTAAAATTCTCTTGACTCTTAACTCTTGACGATACAATGATAATACGTTAATTAATGATATGACGATATGATAATTTCACAAGTTGATGGTTGTAAATTACTTGCAGGTCGGGGTTTTGGCCTAAATTAATCGATTTATGAGATATATTATTTGACAGAGATTATAATCAGATATGCCACCAAATCGCATATTTGGGGTTCATTTTTCAAAATTTTCCAGGGGGAGAGTAAAAGGGGCCGCCCTGGCTAGGGCACGTGATTGTTGGCAAGATTGTGGGTTAGGGTTATCGGGAGGTGAGGGTTCTTTGCAGATCCCCCCATAGAAAGCACGGGCCGTGGGTTTCCTAACCCTTGCCGGAATCGAATCCATGACGGCACCCATTCGCCTCGCAGTTGCCGGTCCATCGCTCTACCACTGATCGCACAACCATAAAAAGGCTGATTGAGAACTCAGCGATAAGGGCGCCTTTCGACAACTACTGATTTTATTTATGAAATTCGATCGAACTTAGCCCCGGCACTGGCCAGGTTAGAGTTATCGGGAGGTGAGGGTTCTTTGCAGATCCCCCACAGAAAGCACGGGCCGTGGGTCTAACGTTTCCTAACCCTTTTCCCAAACCTGATGTTGGCCTCCTTATCAAATAGATCTAACCTCTAATCCATGGAAAAGGGAATCCATATTAGGTGTGATACCTTTTTAACATGGTGTGGAGTAAGCTAGTCAGAATCGGATTTAGATGAAGAGGGGTCCTAGACTATTCCACTTATCAGGCCCCTCCCAATCTCTCATCCCCATCCCTCTCGGAGAAATGGGGTTTCACGTCCACTCGACACAAACTAGGTCATTTAGGGACTAACGTGATTCAATTTCATGTCAATGATCATATTAATGTCATATTGAAAGTTTATTCTTCATTCTTACGTAATTCTTAAGATCTCAAATGAAATATGTGCATGTAACATTCTTACAATAGCTAATTACAAGTACCAATAATATATTGATATTCTACTTATTATTGGTGTGTGTGTGTGGGGGGGGGGGGTCGCATGGTTTAATGCACGTGCTTTAAATCATAAGGTCTGTGAGTTTTATCCATTTTCAGGAGTTTCCAATCACTGCTAAAGACCCCTACGCGCAAGCGAATTATTGAACTAAAATTGAACCATATGTTAGTACCGAAATGACCGTTTGTTTGAGTGGATGTTAACCCCCCCCCCCCCAACCATCCTCTCTCTCTCTCTCTCTCTTAAGCTATGTCAGACATTTTGATTTTTACAGTAGGCGTAATAACTGAACGCACTTTGTAGTTGCTTAACAGGCGAGTGTAGCTAAAAGAAAAAGCTATGAGCTATTCTTTCGAGCAACCGAACTGGGGTTAAACGTCCTCCGTGCTATTAGTTACCCGGACAACGCTCAGCGCTACGGCCTACTCTTATTCTTTTACGTGAATGCCAATGTGCACACTCGACCTCGGTTATTCGTCCCAACCGAACGATAGACTGAATTGTCACTGATGGCTGAACAGAATTTTCCATTTAACCTTTAATAAGCAAATTGAAAACTGACAGTTTCTGAATTTACGCTAATACAGCCGTCACGTGATAATTGGCGTTAGATTACGTATAAAATTCGACGGTAGCGCCACTGTGAATGCTTTTCGCGCCTAACCGCGTGAAGACAGTGCGTAATAATGTTGGTAATCACGATGTTAATTTGTTAAATCAAGGCATAACTTAATTTGAGTCTTTTAAGACATTTTAAGTCTGTCGTCTGGCAGGAGAGGAAGGTGAATGTTAAATGAATTAACTTCACCAATTATCACGATTAGTTTATGCACGTGACAAAGGGGAAATGGGTTACTGTATATTTCATTGTCGAGATAATTAAGCGAAGGCAAGCGCCATAGTGAAGCTTTATCGGAAAATTCAATTGAATTATTTTATAACTGCTACTGATTAAAGTTTTTTTTATCGCCCATTTCATTACCAGGTTTGTTTTCTAACTGTATTCAACACCTTAAAGGAAAGGAAATGAAATGGGGTTTAACGTCCTACTGTTCGTTCCGACTGGGCTAAATGAAGACCGGCATACGCCATACAGTGTGCTACAACGGGGAAATTTGGTCCGGACAGCGGCGCTACGGTCTACTCTTATATCGAATTCTAACTGTCACACCTTAGAGTGCGAGAGAAAATGAAATGGAGTTTAATTAAAGATACATTATACAAGAGCCTGAAATGTTATATAAACTATTAATTAGACATTTATTAACATGAAAAGACCATAATCAATTCTCGATGCCATCGGATATCTCCGATATTTAGTAGATTAGAACGATTCAGCCATATTTTGATTTAATTTAAAAATGGAGAAGCGAGGCTTAGCTTAGAACACCCAGTACGGTGTTTGCACTTAATGTACACATTGCTAATATCTTCGCTCGTTAAAAAAGTAATTTGAATGAAATTTTTCAATATATTCATTTTACATTATCTATTTTCGAACTATTACAAATTTGTATGGATAATGGCTAGCTCTTTATCTAAATCTTACATAATGCATTTTCAAAGTCTTTATCTGCCCAAATCGGCAAAATGGGCACGGGTATACTACACGCCATGTAGTATGATATAAAAGACATTCTATGTAGTATGATATTTTAATACATTCTGTGTAGTATAATATAAAGGAAATACTATGTAGTATGACATACTATGGAGTATGATATAAAGGACATACTAAAGTAGTATGATATAAAGGACATAATATGGAGTATGATATAAAGGACATTTTTGTCTGGACAGCGTCGGTTCCTCTTACTCTTCGTCGAATTCCAAGGGACCTAGCACGTGCACTTCAAATAGTACATGGGTGGACCTCCATTTTTCGTACCACCCGAACGACTAGATGTCCTACTTCCTGCAACACTGACAGGCAATGGCAGAATACCCATGGGGCATCTACGCGAGGGTTTAGGAACCCCTTAAAATGTTAGATTACACGTGCAAAAATTATATAAACGAAATTTAAAAAGAAGTGAAATGAAATGGGGTTTAACGTCCTACTGTTCTGCTGCTACTGGGCTAATGAAGAGGGGCATATGCCATACAGTGTGCTATGAGGGAAATTTTGCCCGGACAGCGGCGCTACGGTCTACTCTTATATCGAATTCCAACTGCCAAGGGATCTTTTACATGCA